CATTACTACAAACAAAAAAACTTAAGTTTAGGCAAGGGAAAATCGATCATATTTTCTTCTGGTTTTGGTTAGTTAGAAATCTGATAACTGATGGAGAAAAACTGAAATGTGAAAAAGCTTCTGTATCAGTATAAGGAGAATGAATGGCAATTTATACTCAGCATTATGGCCCACTAACTTCCTATCAATTTAATTGTCTTTTACTTCAAATGTCATACAATTAACTGACAGGTGTATTAAACAACAAACCCACAGCCATTAAGTACAAAAATAAAATACGATATGTGAAGTATGGCGATAATTTGGGGGGTTTCAATCAGATCGGGACAACAGCAATCGAATTTGTCATTCTGTCTTCTGGCAGCTATCTTACTGAAAGTCAAAAGCAGTTATTAGCGTCGAGTATCAAAATTGTGGAAAACGCAAAAAAGACTCAAACAACACACGAATGACTTCAATATAATTGTTGTTATTACTGTTTTGGTATTTTTAGTAACTTAAGTACAGGAAAAGTTTTGCAAAAATGTAGATAGTAAGGTAAGGTAAAGTCTGTTTACGAGCCTAGTGGCCCATCAGGCCGATGGTTAAATGTAGATAGTACATAAGGATAAAGTGTTGGTAAAAGTTATCAGGACGAAACAGGCATGGAATGAATTTCATACCATATCTCCTGTATCGACTTGAAGAGAAGCGACCTCGATAGAAATATTGACAGCCACGGGTTCATCTGAAAGGAGAGAAGCATTAGTATCACATGGAAGAACAAGGCAAAAAAATAATCCATTGCTGGTCCATGTTCCCCGTGATATACTATATATATATAAAATAAAGTGGTAGATAAAGCATTTTTGTTGTGGAATCTTAGAGGTTTGGAGACGAGGGGCATGAAAACTGCGATATGGTGGCTGGAGTAGATACATATCTCGGTCCAGGTTTCTGAGGGATAACGGGCGGATGAGCCATAACATTGGTGGTACGTACTCTTATGAGAAGGAAATTGCAAAGGTTTTCGTTTTTATTTCCCAAAATCCTTTGAATTCTGACGATGTTAACGAGCCGGGGGGTCAATTATCAGAACAAAAATATTGTCATAATTTTGGAAGAAGATCACCAATACAGTAACAAGCTGTGTCGCCTGCCTCTTGGGAAAAATTTCTTTGGTCTTCTTGTCTTGTCGTAGTTTATTCCGTTTCTCACGCAGTACACCAGATCCTGAGTTGTCTTGTACACAGATACGTTGCAACGACTTTCGTCAGCTAAAATAGATCTGAGGAAGTTGAAGATATCAAATTAAAAATCCCATTTCGGGCTCTTAATCCCTTAAAGACTCAATAGCTTCAATGCAAATGAAAGAAAGAAAACTTGTTTTAAATAATCTTAATTTCCAAGGTAAACGATAAAAAATTCCAATGTTTTAGAGAGCCATGTTACAATATTTTGTTTTCTGAGGGACACAGGGAATTGCTTATTTAGAGCAGTAGTTTGCCAAGATGGTAAAAACCCCCGAATGAAATGGATAGAAATATCGACAAATAGACTGGGATGGATTAGAAAATGACGAATGCCTATTAATCATGTCGTTTAAGATGCTAACCAAAATAGTGACTTATCTCATTTGAAACTTATGTTAAGTCCAATTAGCCTGTGATTGATGATAGTCTGGCTTTGATATTCTATAGTTTTTTTACTGTTTCCATGCATTTTAGATATGCTCAAATAACGAATGCGAAAGGGAAGGAACTTATTCCATCGAACAGAATTGATGGCATAAGAGACTTAATTTGAAGACTTTAATCGACAAGTTTCTTTTAGATTCTACCTTTGATAATAAGTTATAAGTTTTCTCTGCTATTTAATCATCAGCTTCATTTACTTGTAACAAATAACTACAAATTTATGAAGACCGAAAATAAAGGCTCAAATTAATTGATAAGGTAGTTATTTGAATCGTAGCCAAAAAACCGACAGAGTCATTCTTTAAAGCGTAAGTGATAATTTTTTGTTCGAATGCGAAGAACTTTGGTCTAGACAGTTGGGAATGAAATTTTAATCAGCAACACTGAAGAAAACCTCTTTTACTAGGAGGCTCTTCGAGCTCACTTTAGACAAAAATGTTGGTAAAAATCTCAGTGGTTGATATGTTTCTAAATAACTTGAGACTAAGAACCAAAATTTTTACAACTTCCATAATCTTGTCGCTGGAGCTGAAATTCATATCAATTCATTTTGCCACATTAGCGACGGAAGTTAGAATGGGATAGCAAATTATGAAAATGACTTTCTTCTTACCTCAGAACGAATTCACTCCACATAAACATGAAAACCACATTCAAGTAAAACTTAGCCATGACATCGACCTGTAAGCAAAAAACGTTGAAGTTCAGTTTTCTGAAGTGTAATTTGGCTGAATGGTTATTGTGGTAACGTTTGCAGCTAGAAAGTTGCGATAAATTAAAACTGCATGAATTATGTATGTAACACTAGGTAGTGTAAATAGCGTAGGAGCGTGATAATAACAGGTGTTTCTGTTAAGAGACACATACAGCTTATGGTGCAGCAATTATGTGGGACGGCCTTTTTCTTTATTGGTCAATAACTGGACCCCTCACTTTGTTTTGGCAGCTGAGCCTCCACGCAATCTAAAACACAGAAATTGTGGACAAACGACAAAACCCAAACAAAGGTGACCGCAAAATTGCTTTCTAAGATTGTGTAATTAAAAACTCCGGCGAGCTTCGAAAACAATCAAATGTGTACAAAACTTTCGTTATTTCAGTTGCCTCGCTAAAAGGAATTTTATTTGCAAGTAGAGGCGAAAAAAAGTGTTTTTCTTGTAAAGTTCTTTTGTTACCTTTTTGTACTTTCCAATGTCAATGAAAACAAGTAGGTTTTTCACTCCTCAGACAAAAAATAGGACTGAAAGTAAAAGTAAGAGATTGAAATGCTATGTTCAACGATGTCTGATGAGATAATTAAAGAACCGATTTTATTTATTGATGCTAGCACAATATCCTTACACCAGCGAAGAATGGAACTTTGCTAGAATTTTATGAGTTTTCGCTGGATAAAAGTAACAGGTGAGTGTAAACGTTTTGAAGGAAACGGTTCGGAAAATTGACAAATTTTCGTTTTCTTGCTTCTTCCTGGCCAGCAATGTCGTGTGATTTAGTCAAGGCGCCGGTCTTTTTATGCCTTGGATAATTATCAAGTCGTTCTTGTTCAGCGGGTATCCCAGGAGGTTATTTTCAGATTCGTGAATCTTCCGTCTTAATAGTTTGTGACCTATGAATAACTCAGTGGTCCAAAGTAGTTGTCAAATGAGTTGTGCCGATAGCAATCAGCAATTTAGTTAAAGAGTTATGTTAAAATGGAACACTTTGAGACCTAGTTAGGTAATTACCACATTATTAATTAATTAATTAATTTCGCAGCTTCGAAAATATCCTGGTTGGGCGGTCGCAAGAGAAAATAATAGAAGTTACTGATCTCATGGGTCCCCATAGTTAAATAGTTTGGTGATACGCCTTCAGATTGGATCGAAAATGATCCCAGTGTTTTAATTACTCTTTGCAAACGTTATATTAAAAATTTTGTAAACGTTTCGTGATCGTGAAATTATATGCTATTTTCGATTTGAAATTGTTTGACATTTGATACTGCCGACGTAGAATAAAATTCAAGTTCTTCATTTTAGTGGTACAAAAAAAAACTTAAGTTGTGCAGTCAAAATTTTTCTGTTATTTTGCAGAAGCAGAGTCTTGCGAAATACGTTAAATTTTTTTTTTCTCAATTTTTTTCTCTGACAATTACATACATACATACGTTTATTGTAACTCCCAACTCGGGCTTTTCGGTTACAATGTACTTAAAAATTACAAATTTATTTTTGTTCAAACTTAGTTATCGTTACCTTGGATCCGGAAAAAAATTGACATTTTCACTCGTTAATCGATATGGAAAAATCCTGAACAGGAGAGGAGAGAGGAATAGTTTTGTGACCTCGACAAAGCTCAATTTAAACTGCCATGGGATCGAGAATGACGTCGGACGTCTCTTCCTCCCCTCCTCTCCCCTCCCCTCCCCTCCCCCCCCCACCTAGATGTCTTATTCTGAAACGAAACACTCCATTTTAGAACAGTTCCTTTTTCAAGAACTTCCCCACCTCCCCAGCCCTTCTTTTCGGTCTGTATCCACTTCTTCTGCTGTTTTATCGCTACTCTAGCAACATATGTCGTCATGGTAAGAGTTTTAATCTCTTCCGACCTATTGTTTTTCTCTCTCTAGATAGTATTTTCAACTAGTAATTAATGCAAGGCCCCGACGTAATCTCGAGGCTTGTCTAAAACAGCTGCTAAAATCCGGATTTGCAATTCACGTCTGAGCAAGTAGCGCGGGATTTGCGCCCGAAGATATTGTAATCCAAAAATAAATGAGTTAAAACCATCTTTTAGTGCTATATCATATCACTGTTTTAGCACTTACCTAAATAAATATTCACCTCAGTGTCGGTGGCAAGTAGAGGACATGTAAAGAGCCGCGACGCGGCGGGGTAAGTATCCATCGATAGCCACCGAGTTGTTGTTAATATATAGTGTAAAGACGACCCAAGTTTTCTTTGTTGGTGAGGAAAGGGCTGTGGTTATACTTTTCAACCGTGTTCTTGTTCGCTCTTTTGCTCTTGCTATTAAACGTCTTTTGCGTTTCCTTTCTTCTTCATTTTTTTTGGAAGGGGTAAAGAAAACAAACAAAAAGTCATAACTCATCATTACTTTGTATTCTCCTTCAAAATCAAGACAGTGTACTCAATTTTTTCAAGTGGTGTTTATCTTGCCCAAGCAACACCAACGGACGTCAATTCTTATTTAGCCTGCACATATTTCACTCTATTACGCCAAAATTTTGTTAATCCATTCACTACAGTTTCCATTTGATTTTTGCTTTCATTTCAGACCTTAATCCCAAATGGAATCCATGCGGATTTACTTTTCATCACTCCCTCAACATTAGAACACAAGTTGTAGTCAATAAGTTTGTGGACCTCCTTTTGTTGTTTTTGTCATTGAAGCAGGACAGTGTTAGCTGTAGTCAAGTGAATAATTCAGCGGTTTATCATCAAGTTCCACATGTCAATAAACAATATACAAACTAGGAAAATGGGATTATGTTCTCCTTGATTCCTTTACAAACAAAAGCTTTGATCAAAGGAAATTCACTGTGTTTTACTTGTTTCTTGTGCTTACTTTGTTTCAAGACCAGCAAACAATGCCAGCGGGAAAATTTCCACTTCAATTAGCTAGTGATCATACAATTTTAATATTGGACAAAGCGGCATAAACAGAGAACAAAGCCTTCCCACGTAATTAGTAGTGCTGGTTTCACGACTGAAAAACTACAGTGATTGGCCAATTACAACGGCCTACACTGAACAACTCATAAACAAATGATCGTTGCGTAAATTTCCTTTCTCCAAGTTAGTCTGCTTTCGCCAGAGAATTGTCGCAACCCAAAACGTATACCAATTTTGTTTCGCCATATGGTTACATAGCTGTCTCAAAGTTACTCTGGAAAAATAATTATTTTTGATATTTAGTTTGCCGGACTGTCAAAAAGCGAGACAGCTTTCATTTGGAATACAACGTGAGGGAGACTATGATGTCAAATGTTGAAAAAGACTTGAATGGAAATGTGAAACATAAGAAAACCTTGACGCGGTTTCCTGAAGATTTGATTGTTCGCGAGACTGTTCCCGGACAAGACATCGCTGAAGAGCTAAAGTTAATTGTGCAGAGCTCGGAAAACATAGAAGTGAACTGCCTCAATGAATACGGCCATACCGCGTTGAGTACAGCGGCATTTGTAGGCAGTATGAAATGTTGTAGGATTCTCGTTGAACTTGGAGCAGAAGTAGAAAAAAGAGACGAAGATGGTTGGACTGCAATGCATTACGCCATGGCAAAGGGATATTTGGACATTGTGAAATATTTTATTCTGTGTGGAGGGGATTTATACGTTAAGAATAACGACGGCGACACACCACTGGATTTTGTCGAAGATAACGAAATTAAGGAAATACTATTAGCGTGTTACGAAAAATATTCGCAAAGTAAAACCGAAGTGTGATCGGTGCATCTAGCGTGACTCAAATGTCAGTTTTGTGGACTCGTCAAGAGTGATGTCTTCTGTTGCATAAATTTAGAATAGACACTCATATGAATATTGCATGCCTTTCAGGTTGATTTCATATCAGTTGTGAATGTAATTGAGGCGATTTTTGCGCAATGAGAATGAGAGAAAAATATTAAAGGACTACATAAACGTCAAATGCTCGATTTCATGGACAAATAGAGCTCAGTTGATTGAGTAAAGATTTTGAATAGAGTTTTAAATTTAGAGCAAGTTTTTCTATTTCTTTTAAGGACCCCCAGGAGTGTTTAAACCTCTTATGCTATACTCAAGTTTTTTGAACTTCCAATGGCCTCAGAATTTAAAACATCAGAAGCCAACATCATACTTCTATTTCTGGCGAAAATATTATCCCAGCGTCGAAAGCCGAAAAAGAAATTTGAGCGGTTGCGGGTCAACTCGAGACAGAGTTCGTGATTAATTAATTAGCATATGGAGCTCTTAAATGAAAATAAACCTTTTTTTTTTTGTAAAAAAGGATGTCATATGAGAACTAAGAAAAAAAAGATGCTTTTTCGATTTTTTTAACCCCCAGATCACTTGTGCGTGTATGGTGGAAATCCTTTTCAAGCATGCAGCAAGATAAGCTTTTAGAGGCAATAATATCAACATGGTGTATGGGTTGAGTGTCCAGGAAATGACGACATTTATATTAATTTTCTTGATCAAGTAATTATCTGCCATATCGGTGTGCCGAATCGCGCTATAATAAGTTGAGTTTTTTCTGAACACAAGCAATTATTTTTGTCTCGATTGCAGGCATTTCTCTCAGTCACGTGACTGCACATACTCTGTACCTCAGGATGACTAGGTACAAAAAGCGTACACAACATTGGTACTATTTTCAAATTTATTCAAACCATCACCAATGAATATATAAATCATGTGCGATATTTCAGTACAGTAATATTGAAAACTTACACACCAAATTTGCTATTGACCTATTTCTTATTATTTTTGCGGACACTCGCTTAACGGTGCAAATCTGTGTATTAAGTCTTTACTCCGAAAATAACGATATTAATTCTCCAAACTGCGATCTGTTCATCTCTTAAAATGTCCGTTCTGAGTGTTTGGCTTTCAATCAAGAAACATATTCTGAATGACATATTTCTTTTCTTGTTACCTATATACTGAACAATCTAATGATCTTGAAAGGAGAAATTAGTTACTGGTCAGTCTGAAGTTCGTGCAAAATCAATATCCAGCTTTGTCTACGTTCTAGACGGTTCGTTAACCAAAAGTGCTTAGAAGTTCAGTAACACTGACTAATTGGCTACAGTAGATAGTTTCTAAATGTTTTGCTTAGAAGCAATGTTCGTGGGTCATACTTACTTGTAATACATACATACGCACATACATACGCACATACATACGTACATACATACGCACATACATACGTACATACATACGTACATACATACGCACATACATACGTACATACATACGCACATACTTATCGGGAATATTTATCAAGCTTGCTGTCCCTTACCGAGTGAATCTGCCTTTATTTTTGCCGCCGGGTTTGTCGAAGGATCGAAGCAGTGTGCACATGGAGAACGCAGCGAACGCAAAGTGAAATGCGTAGGTAGAAAGTCTAACTTTTCCTTTTCAAACCTCAAAGACTACTTGAAATTCAAATAGCTGAAGCCAAGGAATGACGAGGGTTATGAGGGACCGTGTAGAAACTTTGCTTTGGTGTTTATAAGCTCCAAACTGGCAATTTTACAACACGTAAGCTCAAATATTTTAATTCATTCATTCACTGTGCACAGGATCGCTTACAATTTTTTTTTCCAAACGTTGGAATCCCTCGTCCCTTTCAACGAAGTCATTTTGAGTTTTTAGACGTGCAATAAACTACCGCGAAGACGCTTAATTTATTGGTTTTACAGTTCTCAGCCGTACTAGGTTTGTAGTTCGCGTTGCTTAAAGTTGGATTTTGGCGGGCTACGGCGACGTACTCTCCCCAAGCCTCGTCAACCACGATAGCCGTAGCAGCGCCAGCCGTAGTGATTTGCTTAACCTCCCTATTCTTTCCATGGCAGTTGTCGAGATGCCAATCTCTATCAGAGAAAGAAAGAAAGAAAGTCTTAAGCACTCTAAACAACAAACGTGTCTAGTTACAATGTTTAGGTTTAGATCGGACGTCAGCATTATCAGGCGCCTCTGGCAGCCGCTTCAGTCCATGTAACGATCTCACCTTCGCTCCCATCCCACCCCAGGGGAGGACATCCACCACATAGTAATCTCGTGCGTGGAAAATTAACGTCTCCTACCCCTAACCCTGCAGGAGACGGGGCCTACGGTTTATTCGTCCTTATCCGAGAAGACAAGAATACCTATCCATTTTTTGATTATAGATAATCTCCTCGCACTAAACACTTTAACGTAACCCCCCCTCCCTTAAAATTTTGTGCCCAGCCAAGACAATGTGATACCTACACAGAATCTGAAAATAACTAGAAACAAACAAGTACTACTTGTAGCCCCTGTGTACTAAAGTTCTATGACGAACAGGGGTAACATTATCCTTTTTTTTTTAGACTAGGGGTGATTACATTGCAAACGTAGCTTTAGTTTTGTCTTCTCATTTTAATGAAGCCTCAATCCTGATGTATAAAAAAAGTACAAATAAAAACTGCAAGTTTTACATAGTAGTTGGTAGTTAACAAAATCAAGTTTGAGATAGAATAAATATATGAAAATCAAGTTTATACCAGTAATTTATACCAATTATTGAAATCAAATCCAATTATTCGTACCCGTTCCCTTCTCTCCCTCTAACTATTTATAATAGTCCCTAAAACTTGAAATGAGACGAGAAAAAATAGCTGGGTACTCATTCTTCCCAGATCCCCATCGATTTCTACTCGATCGCACTTTTTCTCGCCTCCAGTGACACTCCGTTACATTAACTGTAATGTTTTTAATGTCATTATCCATTAATTTTATGGAAAATAGGCTTCGTGCTGAGCGCCCTCATCCAGACAACCTGGTCTCTAAAAGTAATTAATCCATTCTGTACTTCCTTTACCAATAAAACTGGAAATAGAAAAGTTAACCATTTTTTCTTACGGAAACAATTTCACTAATCTCTAAAGCCAAACTCAGTTAATGTGTATTTTTCAGAACCTCATTTCAAACCTTTGGCAGGCGTTTATTTCCCACAGTTCAACTTACCTAAGATAATTTTCCTCTATTTGTTTCATATTAGTTTAAGCAGAGAAAATAATAACATCGGTGTTAATAACTCTAAACACGTTGAAAGGAATCCCAGATACCAAACGCCGACAACCAAACGTATCTGCGCAGTTCATTGTGGGATTATTTGGAGGAGACACGTATCGTTATCAGGCGACTTAATCCATGTAAGGAGACCAACACTAATTTCGAAATTCATCCACATCGAAAATGACCTGATCATGATCTGTAAATAATTCACAATAATGTTACACAGTAGCATTGTCTTTTTTTTCTTTTTTTTTTTACTGCATCCTATCTTAGCTTGCTTACTACTAGAAAACTACTGTAGACCGCTCACTATAACCAATGCATCTTCATTTTTGCTGTTTTCATTCCCCGGTAGAGAACTTTACGGTGGCTCCACAAGCTTTCAGATGGTAACCTTGGTCGTAAGTCTTCTGGCAATCTAGAACATCCTCAAATCGTATGAACCTTAATCCAGAGGGATAGTTGTCAAAAACGTGACCCAAACGCTCCCAAGAACCATCACTTTGTGCAACTTGCCTTTGAGCTAAAAATGGTTTCTCTCCAGAAAGCTCCCTCATTTTATTGTCAAGAAGCGACACTTTGATAAAAAATCTACCACTGCAACCTTTCCTGATGGCAAACCTGCAGGACACAAGAAATTAATGAAGTTAAATATAAAATGACAGGAAAAAAAGAAAGGAACAAAGTCATTTTGGAGAAGACCTATAAAGTATTGTCCCTAAATAACGGGAGAGGCTAATAAACTGCAAATCCAAACTGAGTGCCACAAGAAGTCTGGGTTACTATCGGCTTTGCTCAACTTCGTTGTGTGAGTGGTCTGAGGAGTTCACACCGTCCCCTTAACCAATTAATTGCAGCACTTGGTCTCTCACATTATCCTGTATTAAAGCTGGTTGCATACGTTCATTTTGGTTTCTCATTGGATCTATAATTAGGATTGTCGAAATCTACATTTGTTCTAATTTATTGATGTGAATCTACTGTTTTAAATTTATGACTGTGACAATAAATCAAGGAGCGCTATCTAGGTAACAAGGTGGTTTGATTTTTTTTGGTTGAAACAAATCTGATACAACCAGCCCTATCTATGAATGCAATTAAAACCTGACTTTTCCTTGGCTATAGGTAAAGTCAATTTGTTGCTGTTGTAGCATGCAAGGCGGAAGGGAGGGGGAGGGGGTGTAGAAGGTTCCTTGGAAAACTTTGAGATAGTGATTGTCGTACTTTTTAGAGACAAACAAGCTAAATTTCCAACTCACCACTCAAAGACTTCAATTGCTGGTCTCATTTCGTCTAGATATTCAGCAGTAAAGCCCTGAGTGTCTAGATTGATTGTTTGCACTCTCCAATTGCTAGTTCCGCTAGTTGCGGCAATACACCAGTAACTGCCTCCGTTCTCTTTTGGCCAGTCATCAGTGTCTGAAACAAAGGAAATGACTGAATCATTATGACAAGTAGATCCTGTGCTCTTAAACTTTAACGAAAAAGTCAGAGTCTTGAGCAAGATAATCATTCTCGACTGATAGCTTTCAGATCTGCTTTTGTTGGAAAAATGTTACTATTTTGTATAAATGGTGTGCTGTTGAAATGCTTTACTTCAGTGGTTTGGGAAGAACACGAAATGCATCACCTTGAGAAGTACTGGACTTGATATATGATTATATCTGTTATCAGATATTTCTCGATCATTTTGCAACTAAGTAACTTTTTTTTCATCCATTACCTTTTTCTGTTTATTTTCAAAGTTCATCTAATCTTAATCCTTTCATTGCAAGAATTTTTCCTGTACAAGGTACATCGTTTAAGACATGAATGGATGAAAGAACTGTGTTTTTAATYCAAAGAAACAAAGGGGGTAAGTTTCTAAAGAAACCGTGGTGCTGCCTCGGTGGGGGTAACAAGTTAATTTGGTTTTATCAACTAAGTTGATATTGTAAATTGGCCACCGTAAAGGTTTAAAAGCTGACGTTTCGAGCGTTAGCCCCTCGTCAGAGGGAATTGATTCAATTCATTTTACATTATCAATTTAGCCGGTTGATAAAACCGAACTACCTTGTGTTTTTTAATACGTTTGTCTTTTATATAACATATCATACACTTTATATCCCTGACTTAAATAACGTGTAGGTATACGAGTGTTTTGCCTGTGAACTAGCTATAATGGAGCTTAGTGCATTTCCACTGTAAACTAAACTTGTACATTTACATTTTTTTTCTTACCATGGGGGGAATTCTCTAGTCTATATTGATTCAGTGATGGCTGTATCAAATGCCATGGGTCTGTGATGATGTTAGACGCAAAGCCCCTTTCGTCCCAGGTTGTGGCAGGTGCAAAGTTTGAATTTTCCAACAAGTTACCTTGCAATCCGACTGCTATAAAATGTATAAAACAATACTAGACGGAATTAAAAAGGCATGTAGGAGTGTGAACGTGTAAACGTGTAAATGTTGGTTTCATTATTTTGTTCTTTTGATTCAATTTTAAATGAGATTAAAGGTATTTTAAAATAGCAAAATAGCTGAGTAAAGATTGCCTTGTTGTAGTTTTCTAGTTTAAGTGCTTTTCTCTTTACCTGTCTGAATAATCATGGAATAAAAGCAATTTGGGTGTAGCTCAAAAGATTTAACGAACAAAAAGGAGATCATGAAACCACAAACAGAATTTGATTACCGGCATCTGTGTGAACAGAAGTGGCTGGGCTTCTAATACCAATTCCTCGTTTGGCACTCGCTACAGAGATACAGAATAAATAGTCTCTGTCCGGTTGCAAATCTTCGAGTGTTTTCTCTGTCGCCGATAATTCTACGTCTACCTGTCTCCAATCTGAATTTTCGTCGTTTTCGCGAAAGGAAACGACGTAGTTTGAATAGTCTTGAGTTGGAATGTTCTCAACGGGAACCCACTGTAGCTGAAATATACAAAGGAAACATCAACTGACTCCATAAACAGTATCAACTAAAGCGCATGGGTATGTCCAAGAACCAATTGATAAGCAAGTAACAGGGATAACATTTCTCAAATATTTTAAAATGCTTTTCAAATGCCTCTACATAGGCAAATTCCACAAGCATGTGAAATTCTGATAAGTACTAAATATAAAAACCTCTAAGATTTAGCTCGTTAAGGGCGCCTAAGTACACGCTGTTGTGTGGGAAAGTTTCAATTGAAGGTAGTCATAAGTTGCTGTGCTGCAACTGTGGAAGAAGTTGTTTCTGTTTACTGTGGCGCAAGGAACGGACCTCCTCTGAATTTAAGATTATGTGGTTGTCAGGAGAGTTGATTAAAGTCGACGTGAAATTTCTTGTTATCCTACACCCCCGATTTCACAGGTTATAGACACTGTTTAGTAACAGATTGCAAAACAAAATTGACAGCTGAAAAATTCCTACCAGCAGTCTGTTAATCACTTACTGTTACTGCAGAATTTTTCCTCATGGTAACAGCAATTGGAGCGTCCAAGATGACCGCCAAGAAATCAGCTTCTGTGTATGCACTGTGTAATTTGTTGTTCGACCCCTCTGCACGAACTCCAAATCTGTACCAGCCCGAGGACGACATGCCTAGAGCTTCAGCCGTTGATGTCAACTGGTGGCTGGTTGACTAAATGTTGAAAGACATTCCGAATAATGAAAATTAAAAGGAAATAATGGTCTGATATTGTCGAGGAGGGCTCAAAAGATCGTTAAAGCTTTCAGTTCTAGCCTATTGCTTAATTTGGAAGAAGCATTGATAAAAAATACTTTCACTATCAGGTTAGAACTATTGATATGATGGAACCGTCGGCTATTTGCGTGCAAACCTCAGCCATGTCAATCTTCATGCATTTAGAATGGTAAGTAGCGTGTTATCAAATTTAGGCTGGATTACTCTCTTACCGACCCCCGAGGAAACCTTAGACAAGATTCTCGCAATCCTTGATTTTTCATGCTTTTCTGACCTTCCCCTTAAAAAAAGGCACTACAAGTACAAATCACCGAACACAGCAACATTGTGGGCAATGTATAATTACGGACATTGAGAGAGAAGGCTAATATCGTTATCTATCGCGAAAATCAAGCATAGAAATGAATACATGACAAAATGTGTCGCTTCGTGGATATCTTGAACCCTCTCTAGAAACAGCCTAAAACTAAGGGCTAAGGATTTACCCGTTTGCTGAGCATTTAAAAAAATCCGGGTAGAGAGGAGTATGTACAAGTGGCACGCATGAAAAGATTTCTTTTACTAAATAGTTTACCTTACTGGCTCCTTTTTTTGAACGGCTAGAGTCTGACGTTTTCCAAACGCTCAATTCGAAATCTGTGGACGAATATCCTTCCCAGGACACTTTAACACATTTGTCGTCAACTTGCAAAACTTCAACATTGGTTGGAGATTCTTCGCAGACCAGAGTCTCTGTAGAGTAACCGATAGAGTGAAGTGAAATAACTTGGCCTTGGCTTCCTTTGGGCTGGACTTTCGCCACAAACTTGTCAATCCCCTTTACAGAGAAATTTTCTGTGTTGACGCTGCAAGAGATAGCATCTTTCGATACCTCGTCCGAAAACGGAATAAGAGTGGTAGTTCCACTTTCCTCTTTCCTTGTTTGTACTATTTCTATCAAATATCGAAGAGCTAGATGTACAGGAGTCCAAGTTTTCTTCAAAGTTGAACTTCCTGGATCGAAAGTTATGTGGATTGGTAAAGCTGGCCTCAACCAGACCACTTCTTCTTTAGAAAAGGAGAAGCCACTTGGAAGACAAACCTCCGCTTGTGTTTCGATCATCTGAGCAACCCCTTTGTAGCGACCATCAATGGAAGTAGTTACAACACTTTCATCAAATTCTGTGACCTCTCTTCCTCCTCTATTACATTTTAACTCTTTACATCCCAGCAGCGCCTCTTTGATATCTCCTTCTTTGGTTTTCACTTTGGTGCCATCGATAACTCCAAGTCTTACAGTTCCATCACAAGAAGATAAACAGCTTACGATCATGCGACGTGTATCGTTGTTAAAGGTGATGTTGACGTCCATTGGTGAGGAGCAAGACAGAATAGTCGATTCAGATTTTGTGCTCGCTCCTCCAATGTTGACCTCATCTCCTAGCACCATAACTTGTGATTGGTAGAGCCCATTGGATTCTAACGACATCGATAATACGTCAAATTCCTTCTTCATCTGGTTGCCAACTAGACACAAATCGTGGGTTACTCTCTCTTCAGAGGCTATGAATTCAGTCTTAGAGTTAAAGACTTGGATTCCATACCCAGCTGCCGATTGCACGGATTTCCAGGTTACAGCGAAAACTCCGTTTTTATATTCCTGTGTCACAGAGGCAGGTGGATCAAGCAAACACACTTCGTTCGACTTTTTCACCTCACTAGGCAAATTATTTTGATCCCCAATGTTCACAACGAAAACTTGATATGTCGCACCTTGCGGTTCGTTCGCTGGGTTGATAGGAAACTTTAACAGCGTGTGATGAACTGACTGATCTACGACATCTTGTTTAACAACAAATTCCTGCTTGCTCAAGTAGTTACTTTTGTGAGAAATGTCCTCTAAAAACAAAGTGAAGTGTCCAGATTTTGAAGAAATGACCGACTCCAACTGTCTAGACTGGATGTTATACTTCAAGGAAACGCTTTTCGGAGAATCCCCGCACTTTAAGTCGGTCAGGCTTACAGAGGGTGGGCTGTTCATCCACTTTGCATTACCTTTTGCAACGACTCTTGTTGCAAATAGGCCACCATCATTAAAGCTCATTTTATTGACATCAAAAGAATAGGTTACTGTTGGGGACCAAGTACCAGCTGACTTCGGAACAAAATGTTTGCCTGCTATTTTGGAAGGCGTAGTCTTACTAAAAACTTCAATCACATGAGACTCTGCTTCAGGAACTGATTTGAAAGCGACTTTCAGCATTCTATCTTTGAATGAGTATTCCTGACTAACAGAGGCAGGTTTTGGCAATTGGGAAAACTCTGTCCTTGATGTCGACGGCATGCTGGGAAGATGAAGAGTATCCATACCCTGGGCAATCACTGACACAACGTACATCATGCCAGTTTTCAGCTGTATTTCATCCATTTCAAACACCACCTCGTCCTTCTTTGCTTCGCAAATTAGCTTTTTCGCGACGCTTGAATTAGTTGTCTTCTCTCTTATGTTAACTTCATACATTTTTGCTCCTGTGATAGGTCTCCAGAAAACGGTAAGTTTATTGCTCTGAGGGTCGTATGATGGGGATACACCTTGAACTTTAGAAAGGAAGGAAATTTTCTCCGTATTACTAACAAAGACACTTGCGAGCGCTGCCGGTTCTCCCAGGGAACATATGCGAATACTGTAGGGACACCTCGCATGACCAGCTATTTCACTGACTTGTACTTTAAGGATCGATTTAAGATTGCCCCCCGTCCTTCTTGCAACCTCTCTTGAAAAGATTATGCTATCTGGTTCGGCCGAATTTATCTCACAGAGGAATCGTGAGATTTTTTGGGTGGCGCTCACTTTCCATTCAATGGTCAGTTGCTGTGGCTTTGAATCGTACGTGACATGAACATCATTGGGTGCCGCTACGAGGTGAAGTTCCTCTGAGTATCTGAATTCTCCTGGCACTGCGTCTTGTGCCTGAGCACAAACACGAACCCGAGTCTCGCCGGGAGCTCCGGCAGTAAGTTTCTCTGCGTAAAACACGTGAGATATCTCTTCTTTTTCAGAATGCCCCTTTACGATGGCACTTCCGACTATGGTACCATCATGGGTTATCACTTCAGCTTTGTAATCAACCGCGAACTTGACTTGAGAAAATCTGATATAAACCTCCCTTCCATCACGCCTTGAATGAACGTCAAGTTCTGACGGCTGTGGAAGGAGAGGCTTGACCTCTTTTGATACCAACTGCTCCTTTCCTTCAAACGTTATATCATCATGAAGGTAGACAGCCTGGACAGAAACTTTGAAAAATTTGCTGTTGTATTTAACTGTGTCACCTTTCCACTTGACTTTGTTCTCTTCAGTGGTCTTGTTTAAAAGAACTGTCTCCATTTCTCCGAGGTCAAATCGTGACAGTCTCACATTGTATTTTACATTTCGTTCCAGAGGTTTCCAGTAAACTGCAACTTCATCTAGTTCTGCAAGGGTAATTGTCAGGCCTGAAACAATTAGCCGATCTTGTACAATTTTTCTAGCTTCTGCTTCTTTCCTCTCCGCCTCATCTTTTCTTTTCTCTGCCTCTCTCTGCTCTTTGGACTTCCCAGTGAAAAAGCTGATAACGCCTTTGATGAAGGAAATAAAAGCCCCCAATCATGCAACCACGACAGAAACTTGAGCTATGACGGATGCAGCGCTGATAGCGAGTTCTGCCAGAGATGCGCCTCCCTCAGCCACTCTAAAGGGAAAAAAATAAATCTGCAATTATAATAAAAACCATAACATTAAGAGTTCTTCCACATAGTGTAACCGAATCTGAAAAATGATATGCTGAAACAAGGACGGATCCATAAATTTAATTGCATAAGTCTCTAGGAAAAATATCATATTCGGATATCCGTTTCTAAGACTAAGTTTTATTTTCCAATCATTACTTATTTAAACGACAATGAGGAGTGCACTTACGAGGCAAGCGTCCTAGAAGCAGTCTCCAAGACCTTCTCGGCATTTGATACCTCTTCCGCCATGGTTTCGAGCGTCTTCTCAGCTAGGTCTGTTAGATTGGGACTGTGTGCTCCACGACATATAAGACCTGAGAGGACTTTACGTGAGAGCTTAATCCCACCAAAGGCTGCCATAAACTTGGTTAACTGTTTCCGCTGAGAAAAGACTTGATCTGCAATATTTAAAGATTTTTTTGCAACCTCTTGGATTAAAAACCCAGGTAAGTCGCTCAACCGGAATTCTCGAGAAGGCTTCGTAATCGTTACCACCATCTCTGGGAAATCAGTGGTAAGAGAAGGCTTGTCAGTGGCAATCATAATATCAAGCTTCCCTTGCAACCTTAACGCAAACCAGGCTTTGGGATCTTTGACCGACATTTGCTGCACATTTAGCCTGCACTTCGTCGTGATGACCTTGTCAAAGGCCAGTCCAACAAGCTTCTCGCACGGGCTATCGATGAGTTGGCTTAGCTTCTCAAACTCCTTCGCGAAATCAATGAGTTTCTGTAGTTCAAGAATGACAGGCCAATTTCGAATCATGAATCCACCTTTCCGACTCCATTCAAACTCAACACAGGGACGGGAAACTCCGATGAGTTCGCCACTGTAGGTTACTTTCCCTACAAAGCACTTCTGGTTTACATCATAACCCAATGTACATGAACCAAGTTTTTCTTGAAGGAGTTTAACGCCAGTTTGCAAATGGAACTTAGTTTGACCTTCGTAACGAGATATCTCGATTTCTGGACCCTCGTCATCTTCAAAGTTCTTCCCAGTAAGTGTTGCAACAGCCAGATCAATTTCAAACTTGGTAAATCCCTTGATGCGCATACCTCTTCTGTCTATTGACAATTCCACTCCAAAAGCACAGTCAAAGACCTCTATTTCAGTCTCACCTTTGAAACCTTCCTTGAAGGTCTTTCCATTCATCTCGATGTTGCATTTTGCACAATAAATTTCTCCCTTCTTAAAGCTTATGTCCAGATATCCTGGTGGCCATTTTCCTTTGAACAAGGCGGCAAAAAGGTCATCAATACTCAGGGGTTGGCTGAGATCGAGCGACACCATTGCTACAACTGGTTTGCCCTCTTGGAGAAAGATGAATCCCGTCAGCGCTGCAATAGGTTTGTCCTCACTTGGCGAACCGGACTTAAAGAATTTGACTGTGCCACTTATGCTACAATCAGGAACAATCGAATCCTGTTCATCTTGATCAAATTTCCAGCTAAGATGAAGTTCTGGATCCTCAATTGAAATTCCAAACATTCCTAGTGGCTCGTGTATGGTGTCTGGATCAAATTCAGCTTCCATAATAAAATCGGCCTTTGACTCTGAGATCTCCAATCCTCCACTGAATGTGATCGGCTTGGAATCTTCAGTTAATGTCAACCGCATCCTTCCTTTCAAAGTCAAAGTCTTCCCCTTTGATGGCTGGTACATCAGGGTAATTTCGTGAAATTGTAGGTGTCCACCAAAGATTTCCATTTGCGGAATATGAGCCATAAACATTGTATCACTCCCATTCTCGGCAATGTGAGCTAAAAGAACAATTTCTGAGTGCTTATCTGTCTCTTGAATTTTGGTGACGTTTGACAATAATTTCGACTCTCCTTTGGTAAATTTTATCTTCGCAAAAGCGGTCATTCCACCTTTCATTTTTTGATCGGAGATTCATTGGCTGTCTAGGTTGGTAAATGGTACGTCAGCCACTAGTTGTTTGTTCCTAAAGACTTCAAGCTTATAGATTTCTTCCAACATTTCTGCGACTTTCACCTGCTCAAATTCCTTTGAAATCACGCACAAGTTTGCATTCTGTACCAGAATAACCTCATCAACAACGTTAAGACTCTCATTGATTGAGGAAAATCTGAAATCATTTCCAAGACTTAGACCGAACAGAAAACCGTACTTAGAGGAATTCTCGCCAGACGCTGCTTGCTTGACTATCAGTGATCCTGTTCCAAACCCAGCTACAGCTCCGAAAAACATAAGTATTCTCTTCGAAACATTAACAGACAAATACGCTTTGGTGAAACTGGGAAAGCGTACAGTGGCATCAGTTCCGTTTGGAAGGAGTCCTTTCCATGAATTCGAAGGATCCGAACCAGTAGCAAATGATTTAGTTAGGATGTCCAGGTCAATATATGCCGGATTCTGCACAGTGCCAAATACAACAGTTTCACCTTTACCGTCATGGTAAACTTCAACAGCCACATCTAAGGTGCCCTGTACAAGAACCTTTCCATTAAGGCAGACGGAGCCTCTCCACGTACTCGAACTACGTTGTCTTGTAAAATGTACCTTGCCACCGAGATTGTGAACGGTCAGGGTACTAATCCCAACATCAGTGGTCCACTTGCTTTGGGACTCACCTTCTAATTTGAGGGAAATTGATTCTTCAACTTTTTCTAGTCTGAAAAGGAAAGAGCTTAATGTAACACTCCTAGGAAGACTGAAAGGTACATCAGGAGATATCAGGTTGGCCATCTCCTCAAAATCGACTTTCGTTGAGCCATCTGCCTCATTAAAGAGACCTTCCAGTACCAATCCTAACTGCGTGTCTCTTTTGAACGTGACATTTAAGGGGAGTTTACCGATGCTTAAAATTCCGGCGATGAAGATTTCTGCGTGGACAGGATCTTTTGTTTTATCCAGATGATACTCAAGTCTTGCCTCGTTAAGCTGAATGAGCGGCGTCTCGAGTATAGTTATCGTTGCTCTCGTCTTGACTACAACATCCATCTTTCGAATGCGAAATGGGGACGCTTCAAATTGAAGACGCGCTTCCTAAAAGCAACAGAAAGAGGAATAGCGGGTTAAATTGTAAAATAGTTGTTAGAGGTTAGAGCAAAATTACCGAACGAAACTCATCTAGCATTTACCTTTAATCCGATGTTAAGGAAATCTGGGGATCCATCGACTTGTGGAACTTCGTCCTCTGTACTCTTCAACCCTACAATTCCGAGTAAGGATGAGAGTGTCAGTCCTCCATGAGAATCTGGTTTGATTACCGCTTCCAAAATAGTACTGTTTGATTCCTGGCTTGTAGAGGAGAGCTCCACCATAAAGCTGAGGGTCTGTTCGTTGCTTTTAAAGTGCCCAACGACTGAGACGCGCTGTGTAGCATTACCAGGCAGTTCAGTCATGTATATCAGACAAAGCTGGTGCAAGATAAAGGGTCCAAGCGTAAGGCAACCATCCAGTCGCACCCGTACATTTCGTACATGCCACTGCTCCTCTGATGAAAAACTCAGAATTACTCTAACTTCTTGAACATGTAAAGATTTGACCTGTATATATGCATTACTGCCGGAACAATCTTCCATTTGCCTTGGAAAGAGACGATCCAAGCACTCATCCGTTGACATATTATCCACCAAGACGTAGTGTCCAAGTAATTCCTGACGTTCTGTGTCAAAAGTCAAGGTTGCGTAAGTCGTAGGATTCAGATATCCTCGCAGTGAAAGGGACACTGCGGAACCTCCTCGGACATTGGAAAAACGCACTGTTACTTCAAGGTTGTAAAGACTAATACTACCGATGGTGAGGGTTCGCTTTCTCAATACCGCCTCGATCTTAGATAGTTTGAATGTAGAACCGTTATTTTCAAAGGAAATGGCAGCCCGAGAAACCGTCACGTCTGAGATTTCATCGATGATAGGAACATTGTGTGACACGGAAAACCCAATACCTTCAAGGAACTGTTGAAGGGTAAACGAATCATCTTCATTTTCGAACGTCAAAGTTCCAGGCACATCTGATCCAGGCAAGGAGAATGCAGCTCTGCACGTGAACTTGTTAAAAACCAGCAACTTCATCTCTGTCTCTGCATACCACTGATGACATCCATACTGCACCAGAAAACTTGCATCTTGCATGGTGAATTTTTCTTCAATAATTGAACATTGCGGAACAAAGAGGGACAGAGAAAAAGATTCAATCGCGCGCTTCTGGTAGTTTACATCGAGGCTAATTTTATCCAACAGGATTGCATTCAGGATATTTTCCATAAACGGAAAGAAAGACATAATTGACGTCATCTGCTGTCCGAGACCGACAGCTTCAAGTGCTGATTGTATCGATATCTCTGAAAGGTTTGGACATAATGAAACGCTACAAGTATAACCCTGGGAATTTTGATGATTGGAAGCATCTACTGGCCACAATGAGAACTTTGAATCCAAGAATGCGTTGGCATCTGTGGATGTGGCGACCGCTAACTTAAATTGGACTTCAAAGCCAACTTGAGGGTGACTGCTGAGGGGATTGAAAATCGTGACCGTTGCTTGGCTGCCCTGAGGTGAAGAAAAACCACTGGGAAGTATTGATGCAAAGTTCTCGAGCGTAAACCCAAAGGTTAGAGAAGAAACCTGAGTCACGTAGTAACTTTGGATATCCTGGACAACACGAATGGTTGGATTGGAAAGTTGCAAATCCTGGATGACTTTGTTTAGTAAGGGGACAGCTAGTTCTTGGATGTTTACTTGAGGATCCAACATCTTTACCACTGATAGGAAATTGGCGTCATGAGAAAATGAAATAATCACCTCAGGAACAGCTGTCGATGTAGGTACCATTCTCAGATTTACAGCGATTGTCCCGATGGTAGCTTCGCATTCTACGACAAAGTCACTCCTTTCAGTGCGTGGCTTTTTTACAGTGACATGAAATTGGGATAAGTCTATAACTAGTGTTCCACCCAAAGTGACTTGATTCTTTTCGGTTGGAATAATTAGGTAAAAGTCTCCAGTCAGTACTTCGACGGCTAATGGAGAGGTGAAATAGTTAACTGTCGAAAGCAAACGATCTACCTTCCAGGTAAATATGTCTAAAGCCAAAAGTTGCGTCGGGAAACCCTTTGCTAAAGCCTCCAAGGGAAGGTATCCCGCTACACGCTGTAGTATTGTGCCTAAGGTCAGGTTGTCGCGGTTTTCCAGTGGCACACCTCCAAGCGCATTCAAATACATGTCAACGGATGGTTCTTTCGGTTTCATATGCTCGCTGACACGTAAGGTGTAGTTCGCAAAGCCAAGAGACGTTGTAATCCGAAGAGACATGTCTGGTCTGGAACATGGGTCTTTCACTACAATCTCTAGCGTAGTAACTGGGGATGCGTCGAACGTCATGGGGCGCAATTTTGTCACGACCTGGATTTTGCTTGAAATGACTTCGCTATCCATGGAAGATGAGAGTTCAACCATAGATAATTCCATATCGACTTCGTTATCCAGGGCTTCACATGCAATAGATCCGGGTGGTACTTCCTCCTTTAGGCGCTCCACGTTTGAAAGACCGAGCAAAAGTTCGAGTGCACTTCGAACATTGATTGATTTCTGGTCGCTTTTGGATCCTCGTGACTTTAAGAATGCCTTGAAGGATACCCATGTTTCATCTTTCAATGGACCGGAAAACGTCCTGTGGTCGAAAAAGAAGGAGCTGCCTTTACTTCTTTTATTGGTACGTTTGAGGGAGCCGTTGTCTTCCAAAAAGTATTTTCCCTTGGGAGATTCTTTGATTAAAAATCCGCCTCCCGTGGCGTTCTCGAGCCAAACGTTTTGTTCAACCTGATAACCTGTTTCAGACTCGCCCTGAAGGGTAATCACATTGAAATCGCTAGTGATGGATGGAGCATTGGAGACGTTGAGAATATTCTGGGCACCCTTCTTGGGAGTCAGGAAGAGTTGCCCGTCGTTCTTTACTTCAAGCCAAAGAAATTTTTCGTCTGATCCTTTCGTTTTGATATAGAATTGGTCAACGTTGGGAAGAAAAGACCTCCGCGGAATAGTGAATCCAACGTTATCTTTCAGTCGTTGGGAAACATCGATTCGTATTCTGTCGTCGTTTTCAAATTTGCTTGTTCCAGTAGGTGCCGTGTTAACGTCCTCGTTGGGGTCGAGCTTAAAGGAAACGTTATTCTTCAGATAATAAAGAGAAACAAGCTTTTTCCACTGCTCGTACGGTTTTACATTAACATCAGGAAGATATGCAGACGGAACGTCTCCCCCAGAGGTGAACACGATTCTGCATGGCTTGTTCTTTTTCACGGCAGCTTTTATGATTCCCTTGATGACATCTGGTGAAGGGTGGCCATATCTTCCGCTGGCAGATACGTAGTAAGTCTTGGAATGGAAGGAATCGAAAAAACCTTCAATACCAATTTTGTCTGCAAAGTAGTCTCGAAAACTTTTGTCATGACCCATGAGGCCTTCGACTTGACGCCACCAGTCTACCTTCCTCCTCTTCAGATCTGTAGAAACACTTGAAAAACCTAATTTATCGGCAACAGATTTCGTAAGATTCTTCCAGTTTGCTAAACTATTTAGAGCTTCTAGATTCTTGCATGGGTCGACGCATCCAGACTGCTGCTGAAGTGCTGCCACAACCTCAAGGTGCTTCGCTTTTACTCTGTGAAACAACTCTTCTAATGTTTCCTTCGTTGTGTTTTTTAGTTGCTTTTTGATTACCCCCTGAAACGTTTCGGCGATCCTCTGAACGGTCTCTCCATTCCCCATTTTAGATGTTCTAATCAGCTTCCGGCGAACGTAATCAATGTCTCTCTCCTCTTCAGGGTTCTTTTCGAAGACAATCTTCCGGTTTAGACTCAACGAAAGTAGAACCATCGCGGCCAAATTTTGAGAGGCCCAGGTAGGAGGCATGACCTTTCCCAAAATGCTGTTCTCAGGGCTCCCGTGGTGAGGTAACTTGAAGATGTCCAGATCTTTAGCCCCGTGACTTCGAAGCATTGCAACAATGTCATGGCCGTAAGCATCCCCACTCAAACAAATCTTGCCTCCTTCTTTAGTGAAGAGAATGATACTCGATTTGTTCAAATCGTCGTCTTCCGTACCCTCTTTCAACTTGCTTCTTTGTTCCTCCTCGGAGTGAGGCTCGTCATTGTTGTGACGCTGATACAAAACACCAGGCGAAGTAGGAAAAGAAAAGATGATATCATTTCCGAAAGCATTCTGTATGTCGTCAATGTCTAGGCTTATCTTGAATTTGGTTTTTAAGAGAAACTCAGAAAAGCTACGATAAGCTTTTTTGTCCTGAACAAATTTTTTTGTGAGTAAAACAGGACCATTGCAAACCAATCTTTTGTCTGGGTTGGCTGATGTGACGCTTTGTTGGTACTCGTTGGGAAGAAGCTCTCTAAAGAGTCTTTCCACACCATCCAAGTGATCGGCGTGTGGATGTGTGACGATTGCCCCGTCGAGTTTAACTCCTGACAAAGATTGGATTTACACACAAAAGGCGTCAAACGCGAGGAGGAAATAGTTAACGAGAAAAAGAGTAGACGATTGCACGTTACAAGATGATGATAGTTCTTGATGATTACGAGTCTGCAGTGAATTAATAAATTTCTATAGCACCGCCAACCTCCTCTGAAACAATTTTTAGTGCAACTTCCTGTACAAAGGTGGAGCTAAATTTAAAGATCCAAGAACTCATGAACAATAGCTGAACGAGTCAAAATTGTATGTAAAATTATATCATAATGTCTTAAAAAATCGTCCTCGTTCTTCACAGTTCGCATTCGTATTAGGTAGGTTGAGAAAGATGTTTATGTCGAATGACAAAATTGAACTTCTTGCCGTCTTTTCTCAGAATGTTTCAGTTTGTGACCGGGATTTTTTCGATCCTGCATAAGTGTGTGTGAGAGGATTGCTGGAAGAGTTGGAAAGTAACGATTATGTTTTCTAGCTTCCCTGCTGACGTCATGAAAAAGTCTTTCTAGTTACGTTGTTCTTACAGTACAATCTCAACTGTTAATGTACCTGTACTGTTTGGAATCTTGGCCAGACTCGTCAGAGTACAAAGAAGATACTGATAGTAGGGCTTTGCCAATTGTAACGTGGTCAGAGCCTTGATTCTGTTCTCTTCTGTCCCCCCTGCGCCAACGTGCCGAATCGGACCCCCATCCACCAAGTAAAATCGACGCTTGTTCTCTACAAGAATAAAACGATTTAAGACAATAGAACATTCCCTCAGCCACTGATACCTCACCCTCACCCTAGCCTATTACTGACATTACCGAGTTTGTATGTAGATATTGATAAACTAGGATTCTGTCATTTCTTACTACTTGCCTGATTGAAATTCCAAAATGGAGGCGTCACCGAAAGCGGCGTACACGACATGTAAATACGCCTGGATGTTACTCATAGTTTTGTCTCACTGAGTGGCCATTACTTCATTCTAAAGGAAGTACAAGAGGAGGTGTCAGTGAGGATGTACATACTACGCGCGCGTGCAAACCATGACATTTTGAAGAAGAAGCCTGGAATCATGCGTACTGATCTTCGCCTGACGGTTTTGTGTACGCTTTGCGGTTTTGTTTACGTTAAGTGTTGAGCGACACAGCCGTGAGTGAAGCACACGAGAGTGCCAGATAACCAGGCTTTCAAAAGTATTGTTCGATTTACTTCCAACTACAAGATGTAAACACCTGTTCTGAGCGGAAGATAATACCAATATCATGTTCTTTAGGATTGGGTGAAAGAAGATAATCTGACGGCCGTTCTTCCGTCATATGCTTGAGGGTATTGTCCGACCAAACAAAGAGCGAAGGTGAAAACCATGCGATAGATATATGTGAAACAGTTTACAGATAGAATATTTTTGAAAATACATTTTAAGTCAACTATGAAATTCTACGGTGGATGAAGTACCTCTTCCTCAATGTCTCTATAGATATATTCACCTACTTCCGCCCTACTTTCATTTTGACTTTGCATCGATTTTTGTCGACCTGTATATATTAACCATTTTCCGTTACACACAGTTACGTGGACTGACTGACTACTGCGTGACATGTCTGAGCGATCTCAATAGTACATGGTACGCCCCCTCCATTCGAGTACACAGAAAAATGCTTCACTTCCCCGATACTCGGCACTTCTTGGACCAATCCAAAAGAAATTGATAAACAAATTACCTATTTATTCCTTAGCGAGACTGTCAAATGTTCAAATTGCTCAATATTAACTAGCCTCAAGTCTTTGGCTCACAAATAGAGGTAGAAACAACCACTAGAGCAATTGTTTTCGTGAAAGAAAACGAAATGAGTTTGACTGATAATGACATGCTGCATTGCGAAATCGATAGCCGAGTGACTCCTTTACATCGAAACTTCCCCCTCATTTGAAATCAGTGCTATCCAAGATTAAATAACTTCAAAACGATAAAAACCTCCTGCTTTCATCATTATGGAATGTAAAAATTGCGCATTTTCAAGAACGCGCTCCGGCGTTGTTATGCTTCACCTCGTTTCATGTCTGACACAACACTTTCGTTTTCACCAAACCAACGATTTCCTTCTGCATCGTTCCACAAGTGTAACCCACTGACCGAAAAAGAATGATTGATAGAGTGAAATCCAATAAGATTTACATAGGAATCTCTTGCCTTAACAGCACCGTGACGCTCAAAAACAAAAGCACAGCGCTTCGCTGAATTGTGATTCCGCACTGTGATCCTAAGGTGTCCATTACATAGCCATATGATCTCATATAATATATAATTTATGTTATGGATACGCTGTATATTGTGTAAACACAAAAGCTATTGTTTCGTTCGATTCTCGGTAAAACTGCTTCTTGGAATTTTTTTTTTTTTACCCCTCTCCCCGAGAAATATTCGTTTTCGTGGAAATGATAACATTTTCTTGATGATTCACCCATCCACGGAAATATTTAGCAATACAGCACAACAAATGATTAAAAAACTGCAATGTTTTTAATAGAATCTTTCATCGCTGAAGATGTAAAGATGGTCACTGTTTAGCGAGAATCAACGAGGAGCGAGATGATTCAAAGCTGGGCATAAATTGACTCAATGATCATTGCGTGACAAACGGAAAGGGCGATGTTGCCTGACCCCCACCTGCGAGTGTTTTATTTGTACAACAAGTATCACATAGAAGCGAATCAAGCCACAGATGAACATTTTAGATCGATAAGCAAAAATTGAAGAGTTCCAAGTCTAGATAGGACTGTTGACCTCCTCTAGAGTTATTTACTGATCTTTGGTCATTTTGATCATGTAGCGTGACTGACGATCTCGCAGCAAGTCACTTGAAAAAGAAAAGTTGGTCGCTGCATTGGACAATGCTCTCAACTCGCTCGAGTTGAAACTCTTTATTGATGTCAAATGTTAGAACTGGAAGGAAAAAAAAGGAAAAATATTTATATATTGTACAGCTCTCCCACAATCAGTTATTATGCATGGAGTGTCCACTTGCAAGAGAGCCTAAACAGAAGAAAAA